TTTTTTTTTTTTTTAACAATCCTAATTGGCTTCATTTTTAATTTTAAAATCAGGTAACACTTCATTCCATAAAACAGAATCAGTTTTCCTATGAGCCAAGTACTCATCAAAAATAATTTGATGAGTTAACATCAGATTATTTATTTTGCTTGCACAAAATAAGGACAAGGGAACTTCACTATTTCGCCAGTTGAGAATGGCTGTTCTCCCTCCAATCCAGATTTCTCTTGGAGGACCAGATGTGTCAGCTTGGTTTGATTGACTCCATGTTGTTGTTGTTTTTCCCTGGAATACTGTCTCTGTTGAAAAACTGGCTTCACAAAGAAGGTGGCAACAGGAAAATTTCAGAATCCAAAGCTTAAAAATAAGTCTTGGGCAGTGGGGGGTTATTTTCTGTCTCTGGGAGGGATCATCCCTCCCATGTCTGAGGCCTGGGGACAGAGGCAAAGTCCCCAGCCGCCCATCCAGAAGATGTCACTCTCAGTAGTGTCAGGTGTCCTGACCTGTGCTCACCCAGGATGATGGTGGGTAAAGAGCAACAGGTCACAGGGGCCCCCTGACCCTCTAGGAGACAGCTCTCCCTGGGCAGACCCCGGGGCTGAGGGTCAGCGGCCAGGGGAGAATCATGTCAACGATTGTCCCTGCTGTGGTCCCTGAGGTCCTGGGGCAGGGATGCAGGAGGCAGCCAGTGTCACAAGACGTCCCTGTCCCCAGCCAGGCCAGGCGCCTGGCTAAGCGAGGAGAAAGACGGTGTCCCTCCTCAGGGCCTGGCCCCTGCGCCTGGTCTCACTTCCTCCCCAGCACTGCCTGGAAGAGGAGGAAGTGACACCCAGGGGAAGGCCGGGAAGTGAGGCCACCGTCACATTCAAGTTCAGGGTGTGACAGCTCAGTCTGCCCCCAACAGGCCCCATAATCAGCTCCCCTTCATGGGCCACGTCCCTTCTGAGGGTCATGCCCTACCCTCTATAGGCACAAGGACCCAGAAGTTCCAGGGACACGTCCATGTTTAGGCCCTCAGATCCGCAAGTTCCTCAGACATCCATGTTTAGGCTCCCGGATCCGGATCCGGAAGTTCCTCAGGTGCACATCCATGTTTAGGCCGAAGCATCCGGAAGTGCCTCAGATGCACGTTCATGTTTAGGCTCTAAGATCTGGAAGTTCCTCAGGTGTCCATATTTATGCCTACAGATCCGGAGGTTTCTCAGGTGCACATCCATTTTTAGGCCTACGGATCCAGAGGTTTCTCAGGTGCACATCCATGTTTAGGTCCCCGGATCCGGAAGTTCCTTGGGTGCATGTCCATGTTTAAGCCCCCCGGATCCAGAAGTTCCTCAAGCATTGTTTAGGTTCTAGGATCCGGAAGTGCCTCAGGTGTCCACGTTTAGGCCCCCAGATCCGGAAGTTCCTCAGGCGTCCATATTTAGGCCCACGGATCCGGAGGTTCCTCAGGTGCACGTCCATGTTTAGGCCCCCGGATCTGGAATTTCCTTAGTTGCACGTCCATATTTAGGCTGTAGGATCCTGAAGTTCCTTTGGTGCACGTCCATGTTGAGACTCTAGGATCCAGAAGTTCCTCAGGCGTCCATGTTTAGGCCCCCGGATCCGGAAGTTCCTCAGGCATCCATGTTTAGGCTCTAGGATCCGGAAGTTCCTCAGGCGTCCATGTTTAGGCCCCTTGATCTGATCTTTCCAGAGAAGATACCACCCAACAAACTCCTCAAGTCCCAGAACTCTGCAGCAGCCCAAGCCTTTTTCCCTGTGCATTAATCTGGTCTGCGCAGACAAAACTCCCAGCAATGGTACTACTTTATACTGGTGAGAGCTACTTCAACCAGCTTCAGTTTTAGGTCACTCCAGTTTGGCAGTTTGGTAAATGATACAAAAAGAGGATGGGGTTACTAACAAACTCTCCCCCCACCACCCTCCACAGCCCAAGAAGAAACAAAGAAGGACAGCCGGGCATAGGCAGTGACCATCCATCCTCATCAACAACTTTGACCACCTCACTGGAGACAATTCTTATATTTTTCATTAAGATTGTGTGTGTGTGTGTGTGTGTGTGTTTGTGTGTGTGTGTGTGTGTGTTTGTGTGTGTGTGTGTGTGTGTGTGT